CCCCCCCCCCTTAACGTGGCTATGGGTTTGGTTGTGGCGGTTGAATTGGTTGGTGACGTGGTTGTGGCATCACCTTGCCAAAGAAGATAAAAAAACAACGGCAAATTTCATTTTCTATATTCAGTATTCACCTGAAATTTTACGATTGAAATTTCAAATTTTGAAGATTATATCAATATTGAAATGTGTTAATGACAGTACTCTTTCCAACTTGTTCATATAGTTATTGAATCTACGTTTTTAATTAAACAGCTTTTCTTCAGGTGGCACTATGTATTTCTCTATGAAATTGACTTTCAGTCCACTCCATATTGTGGATACGGGAAGTGTAATATATTCGGCTGCGCCTGTAAGGGAGGGTGTCGGAAAGATTGTGGGCTCTATTTCAAAAAGATCTTCCGTCAGAGGTATGCATTCATTTATTTTCACGCTGAATACGTTGTTGAACATTAGTTTGAGTGACGCATAATTAACCTGTGCGACCTTCTTGTAAAACATTTGACAATTCTTTAAAACTGAAAACATCTTTTAAACCTTTATAGCAGTTCTAGATCTCTCCAACAAATAATACACATTTAGAGATTCAGGTAATACAATGTATTACTATAACTCAGACATCTACATGATTTTATCAAACTTTTACATAATTTGTTAAAGAATAAGTTTCTAAAATTTAATTTGGTCGTGAAATAACCACAATGATGTATTCCTGGGGCCTTCTGTATAAGTATATTTATTATAAAATCTCTACTATGATACTATAACTATACCCTGGCAACTAATGAGGGATCATTCAGATAGATAAATCGTACTAGTTGGGTCGGAACAGCCCTGCAGGGCCTCTTGCTAAATGCAAACGGCTTAACTGAATGGCACGACTTCCCGTCAGCTAGAGGGTAATAGAATTTCGTGCGCGCTCGGCTTCATTACCCCCTAGTTCCTCGAGGAGGCGCTTCAGACAATTTAGCTGAATTTTCTGAATGCACTTAGCGAGAATCCCCGCAGAGTTGAGCCGACCCAACTAGAACGATGTATCTATCTGAATCAGGACAAAATAAGTTGGAGAGTCTGAGGATAAGGAATGACATAAGCCTTTCCTTTTCAGTGATCAGAAATATATTGATGTATGTGCCTGCAGAAATTCTGGCAGGAGATCAGTCCGTGAACTGCAGTGATACAGAGAGGTGAAATTCCCTTTTTTTTCAAAAAATCATTATCAACAAAATCATCTGAGAAACAAATTAATAAAAAAGGCTAAATAAACTGTTATTACAGTGAAATAGCAATATTGAGTCACGTGAGTTTTTCGTTACATGGCCACGTGATTTGCAACTTATGTGTGCGTATTCTATCTTCTTGTGGTCTTTTTTGTCGCCATGTAATCATGTTAACGTGACTAATTATTATTAGAAGTTTAGATCTACATGTATACTCTATGCATACACCGTGCAGTTATGGAAATTAATAAAAAGGAACACATTCTAGATTTCAATCTGAATAAATAAACACATGGATGAATAATTAAATAAGACATTGACTTTAAGTCTACTCCATGTCAAAGTTCTTTTATCATATTTGCTATAAACATTTTTATGTCATCTTTGTAAATAGTTTTTGTTATACAATCATTTGTTTCAGAGATGGCCAAGTTCCCAGTGAGCAGCGTGAGGTTCCGGCTGACAACGCAAGGTCGGCAGAATTCAGTCCTGAAGAACATTTGATTTCGATTAATTGTAATATTCAGGCAAGATGAATGAAAACTTTTAAACAGAGTTCGCTGTTTTTGTTATTTTTAAGGACTCAGCATCCAACGATTGTGTTCAGTATGGCATCTTTTTTATTACACCAATGAATTTATTTAATTGTAATGCATAAAAGTCCGCCAAATGACGTACATGTACATGTAGTATTTCGCGCGCACTGCATAATTACATTGTAGCTCTCCAACATATAGGTGTAGCTGCGAGCTCAGTTGCATATACGTATATTCAAATAAATTGAAAAAAAAAAAAAAAAAAAAAAAAAAAAAAAAAAACGGGGGTTATAAAGTACAGAAAGAAAGCAAAAAAAAAAAAAAAAAAGTCCAAATACATATATTTTTTCGGGAAATATGAATTAATTTCCTTTCGTATTTTTCTAATTTATACCTTTTGAAACTACATGGAGACATTTGTTCGGGATTTGTGTAAAAATTTGACTGCAAATGCACGATCTTTTCTTCTCTATAGTTTCTCTAAACCTCAACAAGTGCAATATTTCATTATAAAACCTCTGCAACTGTAATGACACGTGAATGTGTTTCTGGTTACTAGCTGTATGAAGCACTGCATGGTACGCGTATCTATATGTAAGTGTGGTTGCTGAGACGTAAAAATTCTGTGATTTGCCTCAGCGTGTGATTGCATCTTTTTTTCATTTAAAACAAAAATTTTGCATTGTGTGTTTGGTCGATGTAAAGGTGACTTTGATGCTTAGATTTGTAACAGAGAATTTTTTTTGTTGCGAATTCAGATAGCTGATAAAGGTCATTCATCAATGTTTTTATCATAGCTTTTATTAACATAGAATATTTTCTTTAGAATGAGAACGGAGGAGAGGCAGGATTGAAAATTTTGTTTCGCGCAGCTCAGCAAAAATCAAACAATCTACGATAACAATTTCGCTGTGAGCACAAGGATGGAAAAATGATTATTTTGTCTTGTTTACCTTGTTATCTTACGAGGAAGAAGGGGATTGGGGGGAGGGGACCTCAGAATGTAGGGGAGGGCACCCTGCAGCCGCCCATGGGGGGACAGCCACTGACAATTGTAAAGGAGAGGAACTTGGCGAGGGCCTGGAGGCGATGACTCCAGGTCAAGTCTTGCTACGTCATTTTCATCAAAATAAATAAATAAATAAATTAATTAATTAATTAATTAAATAAAATTAAATTAAAAATATTTTTCAAGGACACGTTACACCTTTCATCATTTTATTAATTTTGGCACAGGATAGCTTATATTGTCACCTGCCCGGCGGTGGACATAATGCGGTAAGCACCAAAGTCATCACATTTATGACCGCAGTCAGAACAGATGATCCACGGACTAACTGATCCGCCGACTGAATATAGCCGACCCCACTTGAAAGCAGAGCCGCTTAATCCCCTGGTGGTATCCCCGCTTCCACACGCGCCATTAAACGGATTAAATCTCGGCCCCGGAGTTAAATTGCATGGCCCCTGCAGCGATGGAGCATTTGGAAGCGAGGAGGCCGTCAGGGTATTAGTCGATGCTGCTTTTAAGTGAATCGGTCATATTTATTCCACGGGCCTGTATTCTGCGGATAACTTTTCCTAAATGCCCCTCTATGATAATACTGGTATCTGCGGAGAGATTGCATTTCTGACATTTCAACAAGGGTAAAAATCACGCGGATATCAGCAGACACAAAACTGCATGGTTGTGAATATGTTCAGTATTTGCCGGTAATTGTGTTATCTTCGCGGTTATTATATATTTATATAATTTCCATGCGGCACTTATCTAATGGAAACGCCCCCCCCCCCCTCCCCATCCCTTTCCCCATGCAATGACAGGCGATTCTACTAAACAACTGATAGACATCACAAAGCTTCTTAATTTTAACAATTTACCTTTATTAATTGAAAACAGACATAAAATGTGCACGTACAGGTACAACTTTTCAACTTTTTCTCATGACATTAACGCATCGCACTCTGTTAAGTTTTGTTATAGTCTATAAGATTTGAGCGTTTATGGTGAATATTTTAAAAGTTTAAGTTCTTAGCCTTTTATGAAACATTTTGTTAAATCCTACTCGAGAGATGGACACAATCCTTGCACGAAGGTTTCGTTTCTTCACCGGCACAGCTTTTTTATATGTGTGGACTTCGTTAATTTCTTGAATATAGTCAGCAGTTTTGGAAACATTGTGTTCAATATTGTCAATCAGCTCGCTGTCCTGGGCTACGATATTCTGAACGTTTAAAAAAAGATTACGTAGCTCGTGCAGCTTGTCTTCCATGGCAGTAAATTGTCTATGTCTCTCTTCGGTCATGGACAATTTGAATTCGGCTTCGGCTACATTCACTTGGATATTGCAATAAAAAAGCGTCGAGCCCCCGCCGTGCACGGCGTCGTCCAATTCGTCATCCGAAATTTCTGTGCCCAGAATGCTGAGCTGGCGACGAATGCGCCCCTTCACATGCTCCTCGTGGGTCACCTGGGCTGCGTAGAAGTCCCGCAGTATCAAATACAGCTGCGTCGATAGGCTCTGGTGTTGCGCACGGCAAATTTTCGCTCTGGCGCTGCCACAGCCTGCGCTGGTTTGGTCGTCTTCCAATACTTTCTCCATCTCATTCAGCTTGGCTCTTATGTCGGTGCAATAGGCAAAAATACGGCCGTATTGAACCTCAAGTTTTTCTTTCAGTTGAACGAGCCCGAAGGACGCCACTTCCAGCTCGCTGTGTAATTTTTTCGTCTGCTCCACCATCTGTGCCATGCTTTCCACGCTGTTTTGTACGCTTGTGACTGTTTCTAGAGTGTTCATGAGTAGCGCTTGTGATTCTTCGGGCGGCATCACAACCTGCGGCCATTCCGTGTCGGTGTCCGCTTCTTCACTTTCTCCCCAAACGTTTTCCTGCCAGCACAACAACTCCGCCATGCGATCTTTCATCGTCACGGGTATTTAAACTCAGTGCAAGCTGGAGAGAAAAGCTTCACCCGATTACTTTAGTCTCACTTGACAACCTTTTCAGCACAGTCAATTTCTTGAAATGGGTCGTCTGCCCTCTACTGCTCGCTGTCACCTACCCTTGTTAAGGCAGTACTTCTTCCAAAATTCAGAAGAGCAAAGAACGAATTTAGTAAGATTAGCTCCCTTTGAGCGTAGAAACCAGTGGTTTAATATCTGAAGCAAGATTGCCCCAGTCTGCCGGCGTCAAGTTTTTATAGGTTTCCAACCAAGTTTCCGAACTCTAGGCTAGTTAAACCAACCAATGAGAAGACGACATGAGATCTCATTGAAGCACGATCTTCTCTGTGTTATCACCCTCTTGCATGTGATAATTAACCTGCATCTTACCCAATTTTAAGAGTGTTAAAATGGCAAGTTATAGCGTAGTAAGCACGCGCAGCTCATTCAAGGAAGTTGGCCCATTCGTTGCAAAGGGTGCAGGAAGAGGATTCGTCACCAGACTTCTTCCTGTGCAGCGGTACAGAAAGGTAGGCCTACGAGATGGGGCAAGAACGGGGCAGGTGATTAAGCATAACAATTAACAGCTCCACAAACTGAAATCAAGCGCATTTGCCACAGAGGAAATCAGGCGGATGTCCACCGGTAGTAGGGGCCTACATATTCGATATAGTGGTCAGTAACGATTACCGACCCAAACCCGAGCTTTGAACTTTTTAAAAGCTTAAAAGCACTCAACGCATGAATATCTATTGTACATTTAACTGGTAAATTGAATTATGCGCTATGACGTTTATTAGAATGACGTTAAGTTAGCTGAAGTCTTCGTTAATTCAAATAATCTGAGAGGCCATGGTAGACTGTCATCTAGAACCTTAAAAGAATCTGTTAAGCAGAACATTTCACAGGTAGTACAGGTGATGCCCAAGGTAGCCAAATACACTACTGCATATCAATATCCACGATTCATCATTTTGACATAAAAAAAAAAAAAAAAATGAAAAATAAAAAAACGGAATACTGAAACCCATGTCCACGTAAAATTTATTAATTAAACGAATGAGCGCTGGGTACATGGTATATAATTATCTCGCAATTTAAGCATTGTTTTCCTTATACATTTAACTCAAATTTCCCGTTTGAATATTAAAAAGGAGATGTTCTCCAGCGTGATATGGACGCTGTCAGGTCGCATCAGCTAACCAATAAAGACATAATTTTGCTGCAGTAACAAACTAACTAGTATATTATCTACGGCTTATTCCAACTTCTCATTCATAAACTCCAGCATGCGCCCTAAGGCCTGTTTGGCGGCTTCCTCGTCATATGTTCCCAGAGGGTTCTGGAAGTTAGTAAAGCCATGTCCAGCATCGTACTCCAAGAGAACGATATCCACGCCTGCTGCCTTTAATTTCTCGACAAGAGGGCGATAATCATCCGGTGAGGAAAATCCTTGGAGGGTATCTTTCTTGCCAAAGTGAGCTTCAACAGGAATCTGTGGGAAAATGACAGATTAATTCATCGTTTTTCTTTCTCCCCATATCTATTAGAATATCGGGCATTTCTGTCACTATAAAATAACAAGCCAGCTAAAATTGTGTAACTTATTAAGTTAAATCTGTATAAAGGCCGGTGAAGTGATAACATTCTGTCTATTACATGTTAAACTTAAAACAACATTTGACATTAACACAGACAAATACATCGTCACATAATTTTAAATCAGAAGAAGTTCAGCCTTTGTCACTGTGGGTGTCTTCAACCCACTCAGGCGCTTGGCTGTTTGAAGCGAGGCAGTTTCAGATTTACTCTTTAATCAAGGTTTAGCCTGAACTAAAAAGATGCAAGACACTTGAAGGACTTGAACAAACAGGAGCAATTTTTGTCGATACAAAGATGCACATCACAAAGATTATGTAAAAGGTGACTCATATATATATGTATATATATATATAAGACATGCCGGTCGGTATAACTAAAAAAATTAAAACTGGTGCTCATGAGTAAAACAGAGAACTTTTGCGGGATCCTATATATATATATATATATGTATATGCACTCGACCAAAGGAGTTCGGACACGCCGTTATTTGGAATAGCATTAAAATAACCATATGAGCTGAGGTAAATATTTGAACCAAATATTGATGGATAATGCACCCACCAATCATTCTTTTTTTTTAATATATGTATATCAAGATTTTCCCAATACATAACAAAGCTTTTAATTGAAAAACAATATCATGGTTCCGACATTTTGGGGTCTAGTTGGTCGAGGGTATATCAAATACAAAAGAGATCGCATACCTTGATCGTAGTTAGGTCTGCCAGTTGCTGGCCCGGGATGCCATAAAAGGGCGCGGCGGCACTGATCTCCGGCACGAGGGCTGCTGCGGCGAACGCCAACGCCCCGCCCATGCAGAAGCCTGTCACGCCAACCTTGACGCAGCCCTTGGACTGCAGAAACCTGGATTGAAGTGCCATGAGTGAATGGATAGAAGTAGCATTGAATGCTTGTCTGATTTGTTTCCACACATAAACTGATGCTACAGCAGAGAGACTCGCCGATTTTTGTTTCTGCCTGTCTTTCTCTCTCTCTCTCTCGCAATCTCTCAATCTCTCTCTCTCCTTTCCCTCGCAATCTAAATCTTCTCTCTCTCTCTAAATCTCTCTATCTTAGTCCCCTCTCTTTCTAAACCTCTATCTTTCTCCTTCTCTCACAATCTAATTCTCCTTTCTCTCTCTCTCTCTCTCTCTCTCTCTCTCTCTCTGTAAATCTCTCCCTCGAAATCTTCATTCTCTCTCCCTCCCACTAAAGCTCCTCTCTCTCTCCCTATGCTTCTCTCTCTTAACTTCAAACAAAGAAATACACAAAAATCACAACCAAATAACAAGATCTATAAGACCAGATCCCCAACGCACCTGGCTGCTGCTTGAACGTCCTTGACCGCCCCAGGCCAGTCCAGATCACCCATATAGTGTCCGGCCGTCTCACGGTCAGTGGCGACTTTGCCTCGGTAAAGGTCCGGCACGAGAGTGGTCAAGTGTCCGTCTTTGGAGAGGTTTGTGGCCTGTTGCTTTATCTGGTCATTCATTCCTGAAAATACAACCTCTGGCAATTGATTCCTGAAAAAAATTATCTCTGGTCATTCATTCCTATAGATGTGAACATCTAGTGAAAAATGCAATCTAAAGTCCTGGAAGAGGGTGCTACCTACATACGTCCAGAGATTCTGCCCCGTCCTACTCTGACTCAAAAGAAACGTTTCTCCAACTTAAGAATTGTATTACTATATTTCTATTGTCCCACATTACAAAATGCCACAGCATTTTTTAAGTCGGAATATCTGATATAAAAATGTAGCACTAGTATAAGTACGTTTTTCTTTTGGTTGATTGTTAATAACGACACTGTAAAACGCTCTGTGACCAGTGTAAGACGATCTTACCCCACCACTCCTGCAGGACAATCAGTCCCTTCTTGCAGCCAGGGACGTCCACCATGTGCCCCGGACAATCGCCCAGTTTATTCTCAGTTTGAAATGTCACAGTCGCCATGCTTGCTCTGGAGTACTAAGAAACAAATTAAGTGTCATTCTTTTAGTTCGTTTGTTTAAACTTTTAAAAAACGAGGCAGTAAAGCTGTCATATGTGCAGACATAAAAAGCAGAAGATACCAATGACAGTCACAAAAATATTTAACAGCATAAATAACATACTGTTGATGTGAGCATTCAGAAAATATAACTGGCCCATGGGGCTTTAAAATCACAACTTGAAAATGGCAATCAGTGAATAATTACAGAATTATATAAATACATACAATTCAAATCTAAATAATAATAATAATATAATAATAATAATAAACTTTAGGAAAAAATTAAATTATCCAATAAAGTTGCTATTCGAACTTCTAGCTTTTACAGTTGAGCTCAGAAAGAACGCACCAGATTGTAACCTGCTTGTTACCTCTTGTTACCAAATGTAACTATATCTAGTTAACAGTGATAATTATAGATTATAGGGTATTACAGTCTAGTCACAGTCACTTTAGACAGGGGATAATACCCCACTCTGCAATGAATCAGCAAAACTATTAATTGTCTGTTGATAACGCAGTGAGCAAACATGCATTGTGTTCATATTTGATGTAATTCCCTGGTTCAAGTAACACAAAAGAGGGGGGCGTTATAAATAGTAACCAGCTGTTTTAATTAAATAGTGTTATTTTTGGAAACTTCCCATTCTTTCTGAGCTCGGATGTATGTATTTAAGTGCTGTGAATGCATTAGTTTGTTTGTAAGAGAAAGGTGCTTTTCCCGGGGAAAATTCATTTAGGAAGGCAATCCCGTATAGATTGCCTTAAATTCAACACTTTTCTTTGCAGTGTTTAAAGGTGACGTGAACCTTACAGAGCTAGCAGATGCACCTGTCAATGTGCTTTCCCCTCAAAATCTGCAGACCTACGGTAGCCTACATGCATGTAGATGTCTCCTAGTGCAAATATGCTATGTTAGAGTAGACAGGTGACCATTTTTTTCACTGATAAACTGTTCACAGGCGTTCCATTTTAAACGACTAATGACTTTCAATTTGAAAGTCTTGCGAAGTTTCTATTGACAAACCATATACCACAAAAAGCGCCAAACACGCCGTACTTGTACTTACGTTGTTCACAATGCTACTGAGTCCGACTTTCCCCGATTTAACCAGATAACTGCGCACTAACAGTAACCTTGAGATAAGCATAGAATGAGATAACTTAGTGAAGCTAATATAAGTGAAACAGACGCAGTTGATATGTAGTTAGGTTGACCGGCCTTGACACAACTGACCTAATTCTATTCACAAATATGCACCGATTGTACAAACCGGAACAAATAAATGCTGAACGATACTTACTTTGTGGGTTTATGTATATCTTCTACACTTCTTACAATCATGTGTGATAAGCTAGTTGCGGAGACATCTAAACATATATACTTAAGTTACAATTTACAATTGTGAAATAACTAAGCCCGATTAATGAAATTGTATTATACCATCGCTATTGACCTACTTTCAAAGATCGCCAAAGCAGCAGAGCCTCAGTAGAGAGTAGAGTGACTCGGCAAATATTGTCATTTCTTTAATAACTCAGGGCGTCTACTGCGTGACCGTGCATGCGTCTCCATTTTCTTAGAAGGCTCTCCAGGATGCCTCCCGTTGTGAAGAAGTTCGACTATCTTGTGATCGGCGGCGGATCTGGTGGTGTAGCTAGCGCGCGCAGGGCGGCAGAGTTTAAGGACGGGAGTTTGAAGATTGGGATAATCGAACACGGCAGATGGGGCGGCACTTGTGTTAGTATGCCAAGGATTTAAAATTATACCAACGGTCATAACACACATACACACACACACACGCACACACAGCTAGAGAGAGAGAGAGAGAGATTGTGGGCAGTGTAGGCCTATTAGACGTTAGGCCCTACTGTTAGTACTGTACATGACTCTCAACTTAAAGATCTACCCATGCAGCTACAACACCCAACGCTGATTCCATAGTCACGTAGGTCGCATTTAGATTCTCACATCGTACTTGCTGGGTCGACCACGAGCAACTCTGCGGGGGATTCTCGCTAAACACCCAAACCCAATGTAGAGGTGCAAATGACGGGCAAATCTAGGTTATTTGAAGGGGGATGCGAAGCCGACACCCCCCCCCCCCCCCAAACACTTGGCGTGGGATTCGGGTTTTGGTATTTTAGATGGCGAACGGTGACATTTGGTACGGTGTAGAACTATGATTCAGCTAGTCAAAATTCAAATTTCAAGAGGGACCAGAAATTGAAGGGGGGGGGGGGGGTCTGGACCCCCACCCCCCCCCCCCCCC